TGTTTTTTTTTTTTTTTTTTTTTTTTTTTTTAAAGGTTAGATGGTTACTCACATTTGTTTTGGAAAAGAAACTTAACTTCACAAGTTGGAGGTAGGATTTAAGTTTTCACTTGCGCTTAATTATTGGTTTGTAGGTGGGGTTAAATCAAGAACTTCATTCTCTTTTATCAAAGCTAAATTTCTCTGATTGGTAAAAATGTGATAAAAATAATTTTATATCATGCATATTTTAGTACAGAGGTTATTTTCTCTGTCCTATATATATGCCGAACGAACACAACTTATAATAAGTTAACACCTCAAGAGATGTGGACAATGTCAATGAGAAATATTATGAATTATTAATATGGTTAAGTTGGATATTATATATAAGAGAGTTGATGAGATCTAAAAAGATTTAATTTTATGGCGTGTTAGGATTACTTTAAAGTCAAATAAGATAATTTTTTTGAATTTCATAAGGTATCCGACGAATTCAAATTTAGATGAAAAATGTATTTCTTTTTATATCCTATAGAAACGAGTCAACAAAATTTGAAATATTACTTTCTTGACATTTTTTTTTGAATTGATTTATTTATTTTTAATTTTTATCCTTTCGACTTTTTTCTTGTCAAGATTCCCTTACATTAAGAGTGTCGACAAATTAACCAAGTAACCCAACATTTACACAACTTTCAAGTGAACAAGACTCGGATTTTTGCAAAGTGTACTTGTCATTGTTTAGTGTCAATCAATTACTATAATTTAAAAAATCCTATGAATCCCGCGTTTGCGATAGCATCAATTTTGGACAACAGGGATTCCCCACAAATTTGTGTGAACGAAAAATTAACAAAATAAACCAATTAAAACAAGAAGCCCTTAAAGAGCAACACGTATCAACCTCTCATGGTTATAGCCAATTCCAATAATAATGGTTCTGGAAGACTCTAAAGTCCCAAAGTCGTAGAAAAGGAAATCCACTTATAATATATTTATCTCACCAACCCAAAAATATTCCCTGTTTCTTTCCAAAGCTTGTTACAAAGTGGAGAGGTTTGTCTTTCTTCAAATGTACGTTTGTTTGTTTTTGACAAATGGCAAATCTTGCATACTTCGTACTTTCGCGTGGGGAGGCTATTACTTTTGCAGTACTAGCTTGCATGCACTAATTTGCCTGCTCTTATCATTGCTTGCAAAAACCGCTTCGGCTTGCTCTACTCTACTTTCTTTCACTTCATTATTATTTTTTTCTCTCTCGAAAATAATAAAAAAAAAAAAATTAACAGTGTCATCACGTTCTCATTTTTTTCCGTCATTTAAAAAATTATGAAAAGTCCACATCAAGATAATTAAGAAAATGAGTTAACCGTAAGTTAAAATTGTAGAGACAGACTCTCGAGACGAAGGGATTTAAGTTAAGTAGGACGAAAACTGAATACATATATTGTAGATTTAGTAACTTAAATAATCAGAGTGATAGAATTTCTTTAAACGGTGTGGAGATTGGGGTATCTAGGAAGTTTAGGTACCTTGGGTCTATAGTGCAGTATGAAGGAAATATAGCAGATAAAGTTCAACATAGGATTAAGGCAGGGTAGGTTAAGTGGAAGAATACTACGAGAGTTTTATGTGATGACAAGATGCCTATTAAGTTGAAAGAAAAATTCTATAAAACTGCAATCCGCCCAACTATGTTATATGGTAGTGAATGTTGAGCCATTAAGAGACAACATATATGTAAGATGAGTGTGACACAAATGCGTATGTTAAAATGGATGAGTTGCCATACATGAATGGATCGTATAAGGAATGAAGTTATTCGTAGTAAAGTAGGTGTAGCACCAATAAAAGATAAGGTGTGCGAATACCGCTTGAGGTGGTACGGACATGTCCAACGTAGACCGCTAGAAGCACAAGTTTGTGTTTAGAAAGACATTCTTATACCTAATACTAGGATAGGGAGGGGTAGACCAAGAATTACGTGGACCGAAGTAGTTATGAATGATATTCTAGATCTAAGCCGTCAAAAAAGTCTAATTTCGAACAGAGCTGCGTAGAAAAGTGAAATTCATATAGACAACCCTAATTAAGATGGGATAATTAAGGCTTGTTGTTGTATTTAAAAAACTCCGAAACCTATAAATGAAATGGAAAATACCCGACCTGATTCAACGTGAAAAATGACTCAATTTTTGTTTATTATCACTACATATCCAATGCCAAATGAATTTTAAAATGACGCTGTTGAGTATTGAAGCCTTAACACATCCTGAAGGAGGAAGGAAAAAAAAAAAGACACTCATAATGGCCGCACTTGGTGGTTGACTTTATCATTTGTTTGTGAATCAAATCATGTCTATAACCTGTAAAGCACGATACTGGATTTCTTGTATATCTAATTATTAGTTAGGGGATTAGTTGTTGAAGTTAGTATATCATAATGGCAATCAAGAAAACTGAAAGTGGTTTCGTATCTAGGTTTCTAACTTGATCACTAATCAACAACATAAATGTAGAAGTGTCATAGCAATTTACCTTAATGTATATTCACTTAGATGACGGAACTCTTCTTCTTCATTTTCTTCTCCTTCGTCTCTTCTCTTTCTTCTTTTTTGTCTCTTCTTCTTCTTATCCTCCTCCTCCTCCTCTTTTTTTGTTTTTGTTTTTTTTCTTGAATATTTTTCAATCCTTTATAGTTTATAGGGAGAATGAAGTAAATAGTATATTTATAACAAATAATTGAAATAAATAATAGATTTTAAAATTATTTAAAATAAATAACAATTTACCTTGTATATGTTTCTTTTTCGATTAGTAAAAAGATTTTTTTACGTAAATTTTCTTTTTACGATTGGTAAAAGATTTTTTATCATGAAAATCATTTTCTACCAGTCGTAAATGAAACAGTTATACGGTAGATTGCTATTTACTTTAAATACTTTTAAAATATAATATTTACTTTATTTTGTAATATAAATTTGTTATTTACTATAATTTTCATAGTTTATATGGGTTTGTGATTTTGATATATAACGAAGTTGCTTTACCCACTATACAGGTTAAGAGGAGACCAATTTTTTTTTTTTTAGAAAAAAAGAGAGAAAATTGTAGAATTTATTTTTAAGAATTCATGAGTATGGATTTTTACCCCTCATTTTTATTAATACCCTTCTACTAGTATAGTTATTTGACTAAAAAGGTTATTATTCAAGTCTAAGGAGTAAAAATCATGACTCATATACTTTTAACGAGTATTTGTCTTATTTTCCTATTTAAAAATGATCCCCATTAATGGGCTAATATTTTGCACTTAGGCTTCTTTTAGGTTATTCTTATGGGCTTTTTATAGAAACACCACACATCTTAAGCTTCTAAATGAGAAAGTTATAGAATTTACGAGTGTATGAGTCTTAATTTTTATCATTTATTATTGATTAATAACTTTTTATTAGTATAGTTATTTGATTAAAAAAGTTATTAATTAAAAGTAAGGTGTATAAATCCCGACCAATGCACTTTTTAAGAGTATTTATCTATTTTCTCCAAGCTTGAATTGATTTATGCCATAAAAAATAATTACAGAAATTACGTCATCAGCTTATATCTGTAAATGTCAAATACGCCACCCTTAAGATACTAACTGGTAGGTCAGATGGTTAGCAACTGGAAACTGTAACCGTCGGTATTTTGACTGGTAAACTCCGGTATCATGACTAGTAACTAACAGTATTCCGATAGAACGCCGTATTCGGCGACAATACAACCGTCACCATTGCCGAAATACCTCAAAAAATAACAAAAATTCGCATAAATTTATGAAAATTTACTAAAATCATAATAGATACACAAAAAAGTCCACAGAGCCACAGTCAGGAAAAGAAAAAAACAAAAAAGAAAGAAAGAATGGTTCGACTGTCGATCTCCTTTACATGATGCTTGAGGCGCTACCTGCCAACGGAGATCTCCCCATGTAGATCTCATGCTGTTGACAGCAGACTATGGCTACTGCACAGTGACATCACAAAGGAATGGTGATAGACGATATAGGGGGAAGACGTCGAGGGATGGAGATAGAAAATATCCGAATTTAAATGAGGGTATTTTAACAATTTTAGTCTTATATTTATTTTACCACATTTAGGTATTGTTTATTTAACTGATTCGAGTTTTTAATTCAAATTTTACTACAGTTAAAAGCTCTCACAAAAAGTCACATATAACTTTTT